CTACAGGTCACATGACCATCCAGCATGTTTCCAGGTCTGATGAAGGCCTCTACAAGTGTGACATCAGCGGTCATGGAGAGTCTCCATCCAGCTGGATCACTGTCACAGGTGACACACTCACCTGTCTGTGTTTCTGCAGCTTTCAACATTCACAATGTGACGACAACTTAATGACTGTGTTTGCTTTATTTTAGGAGAACACACCACCACACCTCCACCTACATCCACACCTCCACCTACATCCACACCTCCTCGATCACTCTCTCCTCCTGTTCTCTTTGTGTTGCCATCTGCTGGATCAGTCTGTGTTTTGGTTCTACTGGTGTTATTGGTTCTGCTGGTGAAACGATGTGTTCACAGGAAACCTGAAGGTGAGACTTTCTGATTTTCCATGTCTGAGTTTGTTTGGTAGAATAAAGTTCGCATTCATGATGATCACAGTAACAACTTTCTTAAATGCAATCTCTATTTACATATTTAATTTATATTATTGTCATTTTGAATCATTTCAGCAGATCAAGAAAAAACTGGAGAAGATGACATCCTTACTGACATCATGTGCAGTATAATCAACATATCAAAAAATCAACAAGCGCCAATCAGAGAAATCCGAGGTAGTGGGCTCGTCTTCCAATATAGGAAGTTTTTAAGCAGGTTTCATCAGATTCGACTTGTGATTTTACACACACAGTTTCTCACATGCTGGTGACCTTGTGGCTTAAATGGCATTTCCTATCTATTTGGTCATAGATTTTAATAAAACTGCCCAAATATCTGTTAGGAGGCATTGCCAGGAAGGCCACTGAGTGGGTAGATTTCCTTTTAGAAGGACTTCCATGCAGCTTTATAATGTGAACAAATTTATGGAAAGTAGGAGCGAAGATAGTTAAGGAACTGGAAATGTTTGAGAATGTGTGTTTTGATCATAGTTTGGACGATGAATAACATCTCTGATTTTTTCCTCTTCAAATGTGTCAGGCATACAGTTGAATATGAAGGTAGAATAAGATTAGCACTGTTGCTGACTTTGATGATGGGACATATGAGGGAAGTTCAGAAGTGTAAAAATGTGGACTTTTGTAACAGTAAAACAAGCAAACAAAACTTGCTAAGTGTAGTTATGAACTTGTTTCCTTTGTCTGAAAATAGGTCAGCTTAGTCAGGTCTAATTGCCTTAAGTGTAACTGTGAGTGTTGTTCACTGTGAGCTGGACTGTGTGTTTGTGGTCTGTGGTTAACTGAAGCTAACAGCTCTGCACTCGTCCAGCATCCTGTTTCTGATAGAAAGAAAACACTTCAGCTGCAGGTGTTTCAACACAGAGCTGTTCATTTTAAAATTAATTTAAAAGCATTTCCCAGTCTCTATAAAAAATCTGACGTCTATAACGTTGATAATTTAGTAGTTTCTGTACCATCCTGACACGTTGAGCACATGCATTAATCATGTTGATGATTCCAGTTAACTGTAGTCTGAAGCTGCTTCTCACTGCAGTTTGTCCTAGTTTGGACAGTAATAATGGTTATACTGTGAGAAAGTGTTTGCTTTGTGCTGAGGTGAAGCAAGTCAGTCTGTACTGAAAGCAGTAGCAGCTTTGTGGTCGTCCGCTTTTCTTTTTCACAGAAACACCCCTCAGCTTCATGTGGCCAATCTTTTTTTTTCATAGCAGTGGCATTAAGATAAAAAAAAAGTATGAAATGCTGCGTGTGGTTTTTTTTAAAGTTGTCGCTTATTCTCTTCATGATGCAACATTAGGGTAGAAAGTTTCCCACAGCTCTGCTATAGTATAAAAGTTGTGCAGTTGTTATACCTGTTGTAATTTCACATAATTCTGATTGTTTACTTCTGCAGAGACGGATTCAGATGCAGTCTACTCAGCAGTGAAAACTAAAAATGACAGTTATGGACAAAAAACTATCAGAACAAGAAGGGCCAGGTACGACTTCTCTTTAACTTTAACGTTGGACAGGGACAAGCTAGCTGCTCACCCTGTTTCCAGCAATAATGCTTAGCTAAGCTAAAGAAAAAAAAGAACAACACACGATTGAAGCTCAGAGCTCTGACCCAGTTCACACTTCAAATGCAAATGTAAATAAGAGAGGCATCAAGGTCTTGATTGAACTACAAAGCTTGTAATCATGTTTCCTGTTGTTTTTGAACTGTTTGTTTGTGTTCAGACTTTAAACCAGAGCCAGACGTTGTCTACTCTTCACTGAAGTTGTCACCAGTCCACCACTGACGTCCAGCTGCTGGTCTCTAACTGGGACCCCACCACAGTTCAAAAAAATATTTTTATTCTTCATGCTTTTGTAGAATAGAATAGAATAGAACAGAGTAGAATAGAATACAATGGAATAGAATAGAATAATCCTTTGATTGTCCCACAAAGGGAAATTTGGTTGTAACAGCAGCAAGAAAGACATTGTAGTCATTCAGTTGTGTCTATCCTTTCTATCTATCTATCTATCTATCTATCTATCTATCTATCTATCTATCTATCTAT